CCATTAAGAATGTGAAAGCTATTCTTAGCTGGCAGCCTCTGAGCCCTAATTCACTGCCATTGCTCTAAACCACAAATTAAGCCAAGAGCACAGTACAGGCGGGATCTAGTTGTAGGGGATTTATCTTGTTAGCAATATGGGTCAAGTAGGCCACCCCTTGAAAGACACCTCCTTCCCCTGGAGGATCCAAAATAAACTCCTGCAACCAGAGTCCTGAGGATGTGGCCAAACCCACTGCCAAGAGGATAAGGGGGACAATGACCAACGTGGAGCTTGCCAGGAAAAGGCCTGCAATGCCTGGAGAGAAAAGGCAGAAACAAAGGGCTGGGAGAGGCTTTTCATACCCTGCATTAAACTTAAAATCTAATTTAGATGAAAATGGATGCATACAAATTAAATGTGCAGGTGTGGCTTTCATCATTAAGTCGTAAAGCCAGTAGCGACAGCTTTACCAAATTTATTCCCTTGGCTTGAAAATAAAGATGCTTTTTGAAATTTGATTTTGTTGTCTTACAAATTGTTTGAGCTTTGTGAATAGTACAAACTCCATTTCTGATCTGCTGCAAACAAAAATAGAGCATTACAATGTTTAATATTCAATCAAGGACTTGCTGCAAGAGGCACAATATTAAAAAAACAGAAAAATCAATTCGATTTTTATTTTGAACATGATTTGTCACAAATAGCCTTCTAATAGATAACACTGATTATACGGTAGCAAATGTAATTTATATATACTGAGTGCCATGGCTTTGTCAGAGTCGTCATTAAGGAATTTGACACATACGCAGGAGAACAATAAATGTCAACTGAAATATATACCAGCTAGATGTAATGGGAAGCTGAAATGAGTGGTGCAGGCACACACTATACTTATAAGTAATAATATGCAGTCTAAAGCAGCGTGGGTTTTCAAACAAGAACTCTTTTTTTATGTTGTCATTTAAAATATCTCATATTTCTGAAGGTCAGGAATAAATGGCACTATTAGCATTAAAAGCTAATAAAAGAGAAAGCAATTTGTTATTCATTTAACATAACATTTTATGAAACAGCTTTGTAAAACCAGTTTTTCACGAGATAGAGGCTGAGGAGATACCATGAAGATGCCTGATTCTCACTGGATGACTTTTTATGTCACCTTTGTTGCTGTTAACATCCTGATTCAGTAAAGTTTTTATGGAATTATGTAGCTTATGCCTGGACAGGTTAGTGCTGTGAAGTAAAGTTGTCTACACAAGCAGTCTCGGTTGGTCTAAACAGGTGCTGCCCAAGTCTGCATCAGTGATGCTATTTGGTACAGAAATGACAGTGTGACACCAGGGACAAGAGGCCAGACTGTCAGAAACTGAAGATGGATGGTTTGCTGTGATGCACATGAGTCCTCAAGAGACAGAAAAGGGATGTTTTTGCTGTGTGTTTCAGCAATGGTGACCAATAAATCAGGGTTTGAATCCAAATATAGACACAGGACAACTATGGGGGAATCAGTCACAGAAAGTCATTCAAGTCACCCTTCACCTGCCAGAGGTCTGAACTCCAAGTACTGTAAGCCTCAGCCTGGCTTCCCTGGAATCAGTCAATCTGGATCTTACCCCTTTTTAAAATTTGGATAAAAAATTAAAACTATGAAAAAATCCTAACATTAACAAACACTATTATAGCCACCTGGAATTAGCAAAAATAAACTTTTAAAAGCTCATATTTACTTCAAAGCTTTTTGTAATGAAAAATAAACTTGACATTACTGATCACTTAGGAGGGTTCTGAATAGCATTCTGGGCATGGACCATTTTTTTTAACTGCTGTGTTTAGAGTACTGGGGTTTGAACTCAGGTCCTTGCACTCGTTAGGCAGGGGCTCTGCCACTTGAGCCACACCTCCAGCCCCCCGCCCGTGTTTTGATATTTTGAACCACATGTGCAGTGAGTAGTAGTATTTTGTGAATGAAAACCATACAAAAGTGGTCACTTCTGAATCTAATGGTGTCTTCCTAAAACTTTTCTCCTCACCAGAACATTTTAGGGCTCTACTTATGTCCGTATATGGATCCTAGTTCATTCTTTTTCTTCACTAAAGTTATTATTTTGGATAATCTGATGGGCGTGAATATTGTTTTCTTGGTTTCTTTCGTGATTCTCTGATTGCCAGTGAGGTTGAAACTTAAACATTGTAATTCACTTTTGTTCTGTTATGATTTGTTCCCCAAATGTTCCCATGCTGGAAACCTGGTCCCCACTATGGTGATGTTGAGAGGTGGTGAAGCTTTAAGAGGTGAGTCCTGGTGGGAGGCCATCGAGGCACTGCACTCAAGTGGGTGGAGTCCCAGGGGTCTGGATTAGTTCCTGAGAGGATGGGTTTTTATAAAGTAAGCTTGGCTTTCTTGGCTCTGTCTTGCTTTTGCTCTCACACATGTGCTTCTGCAAATGTCCACTTGCCCACGTTATCAGTAGTCAAGGGACCCTCACCAAATGCCAGCACAATGCTATTTTGACTTTCCAGCCACCAGCTCACAAGCCAAATAAGCCTCTTGTCTTTGTACATTACCTAGCATCCTTTGTGTGGATTGCCTGCCCATGTCCTGTGTCCATTTTTTTTATTGTTTTGTCCTTTTCTTTTCTTTTTCAGTACAGGGGATTGAACTCAAGGCCACATCCCCTTTTTGCTTTTAGTTTGTTTTTAGATAAGATCTCAGACAAACTTTGCCTGTGCTAACCTTAGACCTCCATCCTCCTACATCTACCTCCTGAGCAGCTGGGATTACAAGGGTTGTCACCATGTATTCTGAATATGTGATGAGCACCAGGTGCTGTGGTACAGATGTTTTGCATGCCTTATCTATTTATTCCTAACTGCTGCCCTGTGTGGCAGGGCTTCTGTTGTTTCCAAGTAAGTGCTGAGGTCAGAGAAATTATGTGGACTTCCCAGGTAGAAAGAGATAAAGCTGTGATTCAAGGTCAGCTGAGCCTTACTACAGAGCTGAGAGTTAAAGCCCTATATGAGAATTTGTAGGAGTAAGGAGAGGAGAGGGTATCATTACACACCCTATGAAGAGAGCATACTTGCTGATTCTCACCTTGGATATGGCTCCTGGGAGATTTAAAACACTGGTGCCCCACCTCAGAAGTAGTGATTGATCTTGGGTATCATCTGGATATGGGGTTTTCTTTTAAAGCCCCACAGTGATTGTAATATGCAGCCAGGGCCAAGATCTTCTGTCCTATACTTCGTAGTTTTATCTCCAACATCTAGTAGATATCGGATAATGGCCTATTTCATTGCACTGGGCTAAGATTTTAAATGATACAAAAAGAGAAAAAGGAGAAGGAGCTGAAAATCTCAAGGTATTGAGTAACCTGAGTCACATTCCTTTGGGTGTATCACTAGGAGTGGGATTGCTGGATCATATGGCAGATCTATGTTTAGTTTTTTAAGAAGCCATATATTGTTTTCCAGAGTGGTTGTACTAGCTTGCATTCCCACCAGCAGTGTATGAGGGTTCCCCATATCCTCACCAACACGTGTTGTTACTGGTGTTTTTATGATGGCCATTCTAACAGGAGTGGGGTGAATCTCAGTGTGGTTTTGACTTGCATTTCCTTTATGGCCAGCAATGGTGAGCATTTTTTCATGTGTTTTTTTGCCATTTGAAGAAAAAGCTCTTTAAAGTGAAAATAATAGTCTAAATATGCCTGAAATTGGCAAGGAATTTGGACAATTCACAGAGAAAGAAATATAGTCATTAAATATGTTCACTTTCATTCATAATATAGTAAACTCAAATTACAATCAAAGGACAAGCAATTTACCTATGAAACTGGTCAGGGGTTGGACAACACACCATGTTAATGAGGGTGTGATGGACTCACTTTATAATGAACAATGTAAAATTGCCAATGCTCGACTATTTTTTGCCCTGCAAAATTGGCAACTTCACATAGTTCAACTTACTAAGTCATTTGTTGAAGTGTAAATTGGCACCCTTGCTACAAAGGGCAATTTGGCAATATTGATCAAAATAGATGTATTGTAAACATTTTGGACAAATATGTACAATGTAGAAAACATCACGAAAGGATATTCGTTGCATGAATCTTTTTAATTGGCAAATTTTGGAACTATCTATATACATCCATCGGCAGGTCCCACCATATATGCCGTATATCTCTATCAGTGGAGTCTATGATGAACGGAGAAGCTGTTTCTGTACAATTAGATAAAATATCCTGTTTATGGTGAGTAGAAAAAGCAAGCTGCATAACAGCATGTGTAGTATTCTACCATTTGTGCGTGGACAAAAAGAGTGGAGTGGGGTTGAGCTGTGTGAGCTACACATGTACATATGTATATGTAGATTATTTCTGGAGAAAACCTCAAGTTGTCTCTGGGAAGAAGAACTGAGACACTTGAAGAAGGGGAACACAGAGACTCATCTTTAATAAGCCCTTCTTTATTTTGTTATTTATCTTTTTGGCAGCACTGGGGTTTGAACTCAGGGCCTCAGGCTTGCTAGGCAGGTGTGTTTACCACTTGAGCCACTCCACCAGCCTGGCATTTGAATTTTGTGCCATGTGTAAGTGTTAACTTATTTTTTAATTCCCTTTTCTTCAATGCCATAGGTGGATTTTAACTGAAGTCATAATAGTCTGTTATTATACATGCTAATTGTCTGCTCTTATGTGGTATTTGTCTCTCACCCATAGGAAGTAAAAAACTGGGTAGGTGACATGTGGGAGCAACAATGCCCCTTTCAAACAGGACAGAACCTCATTGTCTAAGGAAATGAAATACATTTGCACAGGCCATGCAAAATGCCCTGAAAGAGATACAGCAGAGGTGTGTGAGAAGATCCAGGCATTACCTATGGTGAACTTGGCTCTAGTTCCCACAATCATTTCCAAAATGTGACCCCAGCACATAGAGAATGTCAATACCTCAACTTCAGACCAAGGGCATTAAACAATTTATTTCCACAAAGAGACAAGAGCTGCACCACACTTTTAACAAGGGTAAAGAGTCTGTAAGACGTCTTCACTCACAGTGTCACTGCTGCAAAAAACAAACCTGTAGAGAAAAATAGTTACAACATGAGGCTCATTTGTGGCTGGAACTGTGACTTCAAATGAGTCAATAGCATTCAATACCTTCTGACTGAAAAGTTCTGTGACTCCAGGCAGGGTCCAAGTGATTCTAAGAAAACCAGCTCAAAAGTGACCACTTCTTGTGAGCTCTTAAGGCAATGAAAGATAATTGGTCACATCAAAGAAAGCTTGAAACTGGGAGGGTCTCTGGTGGACCTTCTGCTTTGATCTAGAAATGAATTTTAGAGACCAACAGTGCCCCAACTGTTGGCCTAAAGGGGATGTCTCTGTCGAGTCAAGATCATGGATGGTCCCTCATATACTGCTTCTGGAAATGTAAAATGTGACAGCAACTTTGGAAACTGTGTGGCAGTTCCTCTGAAGGTGAAATGGAGTCATCATATTATGCAGCCATTCCATGCCCAAGAGAATGAAAACAGGGCCACACAGAAACTTGTATATGAAAGTCTTGGCAGCACTATTCACAATAGTGCAAAGGAGAAGGAATCCAAATGTCTATCAATTGATAAACAGATAAATAAAATATCCTACATGCATATCATAGAATATTATTTGGCAATAAAAAGGAATGGAGCACTGATATGTGCTATCTGGGAGAACCTTGAAAACATTATGCTAAATGAAAGAAGCCAGTCACAAAGGACTATATAGTCTGATTCCATTTGTGTGAAATATCCAGACTAAGAAAATTTACAGACAAACAAAGTGGATTAGTGGATGCCTAGGGATGGGGAATAAGGATGTGTAGATTGAGAAATGATAGCTAAGGAGTATGGGCTTCTTTTTGGTGTGATGGAACTGTTCTAAAATTGATTATGGTGACTATTGTACAACTCTGAATATATTAAAGACCACTGAAAAGCATGTCTGGAATGGGTGATTTGACTGGTATGAGAATTATATCTCAATAATGTTAAGAAGAACAGATCATGGAAGGCTATCACTTTTGAGGGAATGGAGGAAAATGTGGCCAAGTCAGCCCTTCCTCAGGCTTAACTTCGGAATGTAGCTCCTTGATGAGGGTGCTCTTACGTGCGGTAAGGACTTTGGTGTTGGAGATACTCAGTGTGTGATCTGTACTGTATAGAATAAGTATACCTTACCTAACTTCTGTGAGATCTGGACATCCCCATAATGCATTGCACTACCAGACATTATGGATTCCTCAGATCTCCATCTGGCAATGTGAGCTGACTGACGGGACAGTAGAAAGAGCACTGGGTTGGGCATCAGAAGACCTGAGTCCTGGTCTTTGTTGTGCCTCACATTTGTATACCTCTGCACTTGAATACACAAAGCAATGGCAGACATACTGTCACACCTGATCCTTCTAACACCTTGTGGAAGAATCAGGATTACCACCGATTTTGCAGCCGGCAGTTAAATTATACATCTGAGCAAGGTCTTGGTGTGTGTCGTTGAAAAAGTCTTGAAATCGAGTACATTTCCCTCTAGCTTTGCATGTGACCTTAAACAACAATTTGTAGACTCTACAAATCTTACTTTCCTTATCTTAAAATGATAGCAGTTGAGTTGAAGGGTGATGATATTTCCTTTAAGAGCTAACATTCCATTATTTTCTGATTATCCTCCTTGAGATGTACCCTTTTCTTTCTATGTTTGAAAAGCAGTTACTTACTCTTCCAACTCCTACCACAAAACATTCCCTTTCCTCAGAATGAGAAGAGTTGACCGCTGTGAGCCAGATCCCAGCATAGTCAACATCACTTCCCAACCATAATCTCCAAACAATAACTGCACACTGCACACCAACTGAAAGTAACCAGTCCCCACCCTCCAGTTACTTCCTAGAGGGTCTCCTTATATTGTGAGAGGAAACAACATATCATATTTGCCTGTTTCTTGGATCATGCCTTACAACCAATGCCTTTCTCCCGCAAAATTGAATATTGCCTTAGGAAAATGATAGTCGATTTTTTCAAAGCAAATCACATGGATAGATGGAAAGTTCTGACAACCATTCAGGTAGACTGATGGGGGAGATGGGAAAATAAGGGGTGTGGGATGTTTAGAAGGATGAGGACACAGATGTCTGGGTGGATAGGTGGATGGGTAATTGGGTAAGAGGATGTACAGTCAAGGAGAGAAGACTGGACAGATGGGTTTGTGAGTGGTTGGATGGATAAATGGATAGATGCACAGATAGGCACATAAATACAAGTAATTAGATTTAAATGGAATAAAAGATACGTACTCAGTCCCATCTTCACCTCTTTGTACAGTGATTTGGGAAGCCCCCAGTTTGGACCCAAAGAGATCTATCACATTGTTGTTCCAGAGGAACTTAACCTTCTGGATTTCTCCAACATCGAGGTCCACATCAATGTCACGTACGTGGTTTGCATTTGGTGTGAGGGATCCCCTGAAAATATAGACATAAATTGTCATATCAATTGAATGTGTGAATGCATAGGTTGCTAGAAACCTATTGTTTCTCCAAATAATGGCTGTTTTTGGTTTTCTGCATAATCTGGAATGACTCCATAAATGTCCAGAGGTTACCCAAATACAAATGTATTTTTGCAGAACACACTTTTTAAAAAATACCTGGCTTCAGATTTCTACTGTTTTAGTTTGCCCCTAGAAAGAAGTGAAATATTTGAGATGCATATTAACTCTATGTTTGCTGCAGGACCAATAAATGTTCAGCAGATGTCATTTATTAACATCACATATAGTTGTTAAAAATTAACTCAAATGTTGCGCTATAAAGGCTTGTGTATAAACAATCTAATTTTAACCCCAGTTATACATTCATTAAACACATATTTGCCAAGCACCTCATATCTCCAGCATAAGCCAGGAGTTGAGGCCACCCAAGCAACAAGTAGCTAGCTCCAGGCTTCATGTGTGTCTATGTGTATGGGATGGAGCACATGTGGGAGACGGAGTTGTCAGACGACAACTTGCCCAAGGAGAATTTTGTGTTCATAAAACCTAAGTCTGGTGATTGACGTTTGAAAAAGAATCAGCACATGACTCATTTTAAATAGCGAGTTCCTCTTTCTGGGTCTCGGTATTCTCATACATAAAATGGGGTGATGGGATTAGAAGTGAAGACTTCCTTCCAGCTCTGACAGTCAAGGATTCAATGGTTCTGTAGAGTAGATATCTACATTTATAAAGCAACATACACCCAATTTGTATGAGAAGTCTATTACGGAAAGTATGGCCATTTCACTTACTTGAAAATCTGAAATTGTTCTGAGTTTCCATTACTTCCATACAAAGCAATGTTGATGTACCCTGTCTGTTTCTTTTCCCCAGACAGTGTGACTGATACCTTATATCTCCAACCTGTCCAAAGAAATACAATCAGTTCAACGATCTTATCTTGTTAAAAAAAAAAAAAGACCCGATGGAAGTTGTATTTTTCTAAGCTCTGAATCCCTCATGGGTGAGAGGTCGGGGGGAATAGACTAATTGTTTCCTTCTATGGAGTTGGGGCTCAGGAATTCAAATTCTGGGTTGGAATGAAGAGATTCAAAAGACAGGAAATATAGTTCATCACAACAGTGTGTCCAAATTAATGAAGGGCAATACATCCATTCCTGAGGCAATGGACTCATGTGTTCTCCCCAAATTCATATGTTGAAATTCTAACCACCCATGTGATAGTATTAGGAAAGGGGGCCGAACACTTGGGAGACAATTACGTCTTGAGTGTAGAGATGTTATGGCTGAGTTTGGAGCCCTTAAAAAAAGGAAGCCCAGAAATCTCTCTTGCCCTCCTTTTACCACGAGAGGGGATACAAGAAGACAGCAATGTGCACCAGAACCTGACCATGTTGGCATGCTGATCTCAGACTCCAGGCCTCCAGGACTGGGAGAAACAAATATCTGTTGTTTATAAACCACCCAGCCTATGGTATTCTGTATAGCATCCTGAACTGAGATACTCAGTTGCACCTTGTTTTGTCACTTTCCTTTTTACTTATTATGCCTTAGAGGGATTCTTTTTTCAGTATATAGAACTCTTCCTTTTAGTGGTTATTCACAGTATTTAATCTGTAGTATTTAGTTCTTTTCCAATTAGTGGGCATTTAGATTTTTCTCTTCAATATTTTGCTATTAAAAGCAATGCTACCCCTAGCATTTCTGAACAAATCTTATGCATACATGCAAGTGTGTTTCCGTGGGACATGCTGAGAAGCAGAGGGACTGGGTTAAAAGAATATGCAAGGCAGGTTTTATAGATAGTGCTAAGCTATTAACTTTTATGATAAATATAGGATTATGTGAAATATATATGTGAAAAGTGTCCTATGATCAAAAATTTTAAACTCTCTTGGAAAAATAAGGCTCTTGTCTTCCACAATATATGATATTACTTATAGAAAATTGGTCTTCATGGTTTTACTACTTTTTAAATGAGAAGCTGGGCAAAATAATAACAACTACAGCAGCAGGGTGTGTATCTGTGTGCATGTGTGTGTGCATGTGTATGCAGTGTGATGGGTGGTCATCCCTGTGCTGTCTTGACTTACTGTGACTTTGCCTCAGTTGCTCTTTTTCCATTAGTAGATGGAAATATGATCCCCCGGGTCACTCATTGGCCTTCACTCTGCTGCTGATCAGGATTATTGGGGTGAACATGAAACTTAAGGAAAATGCTGTTCCGCTGTCCTTACATTATAGCTTAGGCTGGTCAGAGTTGAGTTTCTGTCAATTGCTACCAAATAAGGCTCATGCCTTATTTTAAAATTAAAACTTAAAAATTATTTTCAAGAAGTTTTAAGTAAAATGGAAACTTACGAGTAAAGTCACCACTATCTCCTGTGTTCAGAAAAAAGGTTTGTTCCACAGCATTGGTTTTCCCCTTAAACTGGTCAGCATGGTGCCCCATTTTGGGGCATCCTTCAGCTGGACAAGGGAAACAGCCATTCTAGTGGGGTAAACAAAAAATGTTAGCAGTAGGTCTTTGCCTCACTTGTTCAGTCAATCAATCATCTTCCCTCTCTTTCCCTCCTTTTCTCCCTTCTTCCTCTCCTTCCCTTCTTCCTTTCCTCCCTTCCTTCCTCCCTCCCTCCCTTCCTTCCTCCCTCCCTTCCTTCCTCCCTTTCTCACTCCCTCCCTTCCTTCCCATCTATCATTCATCTTCTCATCTTCCCATCCACCCTTCATTCACCCATCCATCCTCCCATCCCACTAATCTATGCTTGCATCTATCTATCTATGTATCCATGTACCCATGGGCTCATGTATTCATCCTCAGAACTGTGCTAGGCCCTCCAGAGTGCCCAACAAAGTGCCTTGAAAACTTATAGTTGAGAGATAGGACATATATGGGAAGTAATACAATTAAATATGAAAAGGAAATGCAAGATAATGTTTCTAAGGAGAAGTAAATGGGAAAGACAGCAAATTATTTCTAAGGAAAGAGGAAGGGAGGATCTGTGACCATTTTTACCTTAGTGTGAATTATTTCTCCTGACAAGTTGACCCCACTCTGGTAGGTCATTAATTGGGCCTTCAAATCAGGTGAGCACTTTATGGCAGTGTCACTGTCCTCTGGCTTTTGACCTCATACCACATCTAAAATGCATGGTGTGCAGAACTATTTTGAGATTTAGAAAGCATCAGACAGGTGCTGGAGGCCACAATACTGTCCAGGTGCCCCTAGTAACCAGCACTGATGCAGACTTTGGGGATCCAAAATGAGGCCCTTCTGACCTTAGTTCATCTCAGACTTAGAATGTCAAGATCAAAGTTAGTTTTGAAAAGAAAAAAATATTTAAATATATATTTTTGGTTTTTTCTTTGACAAATTAAAAAAAATCAGTTTTGCAAACATCAGTGTGATACTCAATTCAAATAAGGATTATCAGTAGAAACTCAAACCTTTCACCAGATTTAATGCTGTTAGGAAAACAATGTTATCTAACAGATTATTCAAGGAGAAAAGTATTTTTGTAATGCAGAAATCTGACACTACTTTAACCAAGTAATTAAAATTTATACCATCAAATAATGAAAAAAGTGCCATTAAATGAATGCCTTTGGTTGATAGACTAAGAAGCATCTACTATTGCCCTCTGAGTCACAAAGAAATGATCAAACAATTTCAGAATGTGGATTATTCTACCAAACAACTGGTTTGGAAACTTCATAACCACCAATGTCTGGAAGACCAAGAGAAAATGGGACACTCTTCCAGGATAAAGGAGACTAAAGAGGTGAGAAAAAGAAGGGAAGGAAGGAAAAAGGAAGAGATACAAGACAAGGGAAGTTGGGCAGCAGTTCTAGAGGATATTATTTGGGTAATTAGAGAAGCTGAATATACACTATACATTAGATACATTAGTGTGTCAAAGTTAGAGCTTTTGAATGCTCTTCTACAGGAATATGGTCTTGTTTTTAGGGCATAAATCTTGAAGTATTTATGAGTAAAGTGTTCCAACATCTTGAATTCTCTTTTGTATAACTTCAGAACAAAGTACATGTACATGCACACACACGAAAGGTTAGCAATTGGTGCATCTGTGTGGTGACATTCATGTGCGCTTCTTTCAACCTTGGTGTACACTGGAAACTGTCCAAAACGAAAAGCTGGGAGGACCCAGCACAGCTGCCTCTGTGCAGCTCCCTTTCCACAAGCCCTGCCCCACCACACACATGAGGAAGAAGACATTGGAAACTTCAGCATTTCTGTGACTTCTGCTGGTTCTTGCAGAGTCACATACTTTTGCTTCTTCTGTTCTAAGCCCCAGGGATAAAACACTTACACAGGACCACCATCATCTGTTGGGGACCTTTGTGACCTACCTCTTGGAACTCTTGGTAGGTGGTGCAGGGGTAGCCCAGGAAGCCGTCAGGGTTGAGGATACTGCTGGAGTAATACTCATGACTTCGTTGGTGGTTGCAAGCTATAAAGTTCTGTGTTCCTGAGAAAGCAAAGACCACAGGAGCTGGAGGAGGCCTCGCCTTTGGAGTGTGAGCCATTTGGACAGAGTGAGGAATTGCCTCTACGTTTCACAAGTGGGTGTGGCACTCTGAACATTTTGGGGCATTCTTTCTATTTTTATAAAAAAATTGCTCTCTTGAAATGTTCAGAGACAGAGAGGGAGGGAGGGAGAGAGAGAGAGAGAGAGAGAGAGAGAGAGAGAGAGAGAGAGAGTGAGCGAGAGAGAGACAGTAGTCACTTTTAAAGGGATCCTGCACAGTCCAGATAGTTAATATATGTTAAGGGCCCAGATTGCTTGGTTTTCTGACTTCTCATGAGAAGTGAGAATCTCTACTTTTACAGGAAAATATTCCCTGACTCCCATGATCTCAGTGCATCCCATTTTAAAAGCAGTCATCCATGGAACACTGCTGCAGATTGCATTCCACCATACATGAGGATCCCAAATCATACCAAACCATCCTTTCCCATGAGCCAACCTTCTCTGAGCCTGACTGCTCAGGCCAAGCAAGTCTTCCTTGTGGGTGTGCTGAGCACAGGGTGCCTCTGGTCACTCTTTCACTGCATTTTATTTACCACCTTTTGCTTAAATCAAAGCCGTCTTGTTTGGAAAGTTGTTTTTCTATTTCTTTGGCTACTTGGTACAAATCTTCCCATGGGTAATCCACAGTGACCTGGGACACGCCTGGAGAACATTCGTAAGGGGGGTGGAGGGGGTCTGGCAGCTTTATGTACCACCCCTTGAGAAAGGAACATTCCCCTTTGTGGCTAGGGTGCATTCACAGCTTCAAGCCCTGCTGTGCCCCAGCCCAGCCGAACCAGCCATGTTCCAAGTGCCCACATCACTGCTTCTCACCAGACAGCGGAAACTGTTTTAAACTTAATTCTTTCTTTCATCCAAAATTGCTGCTCAGGGACCCCATAATAGAGGAGAAAGTGAATTTAATTGTTCCCAGTACCCAGCGCATGGGTGACTGGAGCTTGACACAATAGAAACACTCTAGCACTTATGGGCTTGTTCACTCTAAATTGCCTCTTTAATTAAACCTGAACTTGCTCCTATTATGTGTGCCCTGCTCGTCATTTCTGGGAGGGCCAGCTATTATTGTGACTCTGGGGCTCCTTCAGGGAGAGAAGAAAGGCATGTCTTCCCAGGAGTTACCTGGTGCAGGGCTGAGAGGTCAAAAGCTATTTATTTGTCGGTGGACACTGCTGTTGCTTTCTCCGCTCTGTCCACTGACATTAAACCCATGGGACATTAAAGGCCACACAAGGCCATTCAACTCAAGAGTGTACTCAGCACCTGATTTGCACCAGGCCCTGAACAGGTGTTGGGATGATACGGGGCCCAAGACATAGTCCTCAGCTATGGGGAATTTCCAGTTCAGAAAAATAAGGACAAAGAAAATGATTACTGACCCAAAGCCTCCTCTTTGAGGGAGAAGAAAGAGGCCTAATTTCAGGGGAGGAGCAAGATGAATAAGCAAAGGTCAGACAAAGGGCAGTTAATGTAGATGGTGCTGAGAGGTCACCCTAATGTTCACAGTGCAGATCCTGCTCTCTAGATGAACAGAAACATACACACAAGGCTCACCAGGAGCTACCATGAGTCCCCAGACCTCCAGGGCTCCCCTGTCCACACACAGAGACTCAATCCACAGAGTACACTCCTCCTCATCTGTCTCCTGATAGCTCAGTACCCTTTCAATCCTAGGACTTGACAATGGCAAACAACAAGCATATCCTAGCCTCCAAATCTTTGCTTCCACTTTGCAGTTCTTCAAGCAGCAGGTGCTAAAAATAAGATGGGTGGTCAAAGCCAGAACTGGGTGTTTGTCAATGTGCTCATCCAGCCCTTGTCTGCCATCCAGACAAGTGAAGGAGACAGCACAGGGTGGGGCATGCGATCAGTGCTTTACAGTTGGAAATTGGAGTTAAACATAGAGAAGCCTTGGGTCCATTATGTAAGTTTTCTGATTCCTGGTTTCTGCATATAGAAAGTGGTGCCAGTGTTCCAAGAGTAGCACTGTTGTGAAAATGCCTGCCACAGAACAAGTGCTCCATGCATGGTGGCAAATTCAGTATTCTGCTTTCACCCAAAATACAGGGTCACACCCTTACTTCTTTCATTTACATACCTTCCCATATTCCATTTATATCAATGATGGTTGAGATGATATTTTTCTGACATCCAGGCATTTCCTCTCCTCCATTTGGAAAGAAATCCAGGTGGCCCACCTTTTGGCTCATTCCAAAACCTGAAACATTTGAAGCAGAGATAAGCAGGGAGGTCTGTGGTCCCAAAGTTAGATCACGGCCACAGTGAGATGTTCAACTTGCTTCAATAAGAGTGAGAGACTTCTTGGCGATTCCTTTCCTCAGCCCAGAAACCACTGCCTCAAGCTCTGTGGAACATTCTCAGAGATGGAAGCTTTGTAAAACAAGGGGAGAGAAGAGGGCACAAGAAGTGAGATGAGGGGAAGGCAGGCTCTGGATGAGTATGCACACATACATTTATATATATATATATATATATGTGTGTGTGTGTGTGTGTGCGTGTGCGCATCTGTCTGTCTGTCTTGGGGAGGCTCTGGGCAATACCAATACATCCCAATACCATTGGGCATCAATAGGCATGTATAAGATGCAATTTGTTCTTTCTTACTTATTTAAAATTTTGCTTTCTACATTATATTGGTACGGTGAGACCACACAGCATCATATTGCCTCATGGAGAACCACAGTATAACAGCCACAGGAGTTTTGGCTTTTGAGGTGCACAGACCTGAGATCAAATCCTGGTTCCATTGACACATTGTGATCTCGGGTAATTACTTAACCTTACTGAGCCTAGATCCTTGGCTGAGAAGTGGTGGTAATGTCTACTTTTTAGGGTGCTACATAATGAGTTAACATGTCCAAAACATTCAGTGCAACATACTATAAATCTTTAATAAGCAGTATCACTAAACACATGCCCTGTATTGGCAAGTCTCTTAAGTGGTCATGTAAGGAAATATTGAAAAAAGGGTCATTGACTTTAGAAGAATTACATAAAGGGACATATTTAGTTTCCAATAAGACAAACTGTAACCAAAACTTTGACAAAAAAAGAAAAATCTTTCAAAAATTAAGTAATTTTTAAGTGTAGGTCAAGTGAAATCATCAATTTACCCGCCACTTTGGATATTGATAGACTGGGGAAAGATGCAGGGTTTGAAGATTGAGTGACAGCCTCTTTAGACTATGAAAGCGTTTCTTGTTTGATCTGGGACTGAGGCCACCATTACTATTGGTCCATTTCGATTGGCTAGTGCCCAAGGCATTCCCCTAGCCAACCATTTTGAATAGCACCACCCCCTGCAGTTTGTGTGTATGTTAGAGGTGGGGCGACCTGGACCCAATATCACCAGTCATATAGCCTTGGTCACTAGGAGGTGGGACTGAGGAACTCACCTAGGTTGGGGATTATGGGAGCACCATCTGTGTGAATCACATCCACAAACATGGCATCTGATGGGTCCAGCCGAACCAACTCTGGTGTGCCCTGGAAGCACGGCTCTGCTGGATCCAGCCCTGAAAGAAAGAAGGTAGACCAGCTGCACTCTGAGAAAAACTGAGATCTAAGCTTCAACTATAAACCGAGCATGAGGATTCCTGGGCAAAGGGTCCCATACCCCAGCGGCTATGGATCTGGGAACTGGGTCTGCAGCAACTGGTCTGTTTGAGAAAGAAAGGCTGTAACAGAATGTCCAGGAATGGGGGTATTGCCTGTTGAAAGACACTTGTAAAACCTTAGTTCCTTACACTATAAAGGGCGGGGCTCTTTCATCTCATTTCTCTTTTCCTATTTAGCCCTCCTCACACAGGTTACCATTTGGCTATTGGCCTTCTCCCGCTGTTCCCCAGCCCACAAAACCTACATGGTATCCTTCATGTCTTTTTTCATGCTGTTCCCCAGCCTGCTGTACCCTTCCCTACAACTTCCCTTCTCTAAATCTTTCTCATCCAAACCCCAGCTTTCACCCCACCTCCTCGTCAAAAACTTAAGCTTCTCCCTTCTAAGCTCTTTCTAGCCTCTATATTATTTGCACTGGCAAAGTATGCTTTGAATTGTATTTGCCTACTTAATTTTCTGCTTCCTGGACTAGACTGCGGATTTCCTAAAGTTGGGTCTGTGCCCAGTTCATCTTCAAAGATAAACAGAAGGTGTGTCTGTGTGTGGGAGGGGTGTCACACAGTGTCATATTCTTGTCCTGGTTCAGCTCAAGGTTAAATGTCTCATCCAGGAAGTAGGATTAAGATTGTGAAAACCCCATAGAGAGGGTTTCTACACAATTATGAACTACTATACTTGTGCCTCTCACAGTGCCTTAAGAAAGGGGACACTCTTTAAATGCTGAAACAAACTGCCAAAGTTACATACTGACTGGCTGCACAGAATAAATAGTTGTCCCTATCTTGTGTGTATTCATTTTGCATAGGGATTCATTCGTTCATTCATTCACTCAGTTTTTACTGAGCACTTTCTATGTGGCAGGTCTCAGCTAGCCACTTCAATTTTCTACGTGTGCGGCAGAACATTATTCAAGAAATACTTGTGGAACTGATTCATTTGAGAAAAATTGCCACTATTTTTAAACGTTGCCACCCTCTAGCAGCAATAACCCCAAAGTCAAGTTTAATTTGCTAGTTGTATTTTTCTTGTTTTATAAATGTATGTTATTTACAATCATTTTTTTTTCTGATACACCTTAAGATACATGAACAATTATTTTTAAGTTCAGGCAACACCTAAAATAAGCCTCCCAAGCGTCAGTAAGGTCGCCCTTCGCGGTGGGAAGCGCCTGGAGTCGAGCTGAAGGACCCCACGCCCAAGGTCATGGGACCTTTGCTGGACAGCGCGATTCCTACCTGTGATCCTGCCCAAGTAGCCTTCCAACCTCCTGCCGGCCTCCGCCGCCACGTGCGCGCCCAGGCTGTGGCCGATGAGGTGCACGTTCTCAGGGCTGTACTCCAGCTGCGTCTGCGGAGGGAGGGCGCGTCAGGTCCCCTCTAGGAACCGGTGGGGACGTGCAGGTCGTGGGAGGGGACACTGGCCTCTTCTGAGGATTGGGGCTGCACATAGCTCCACGCTTGGCTCGAGGATGCCACCCAGGACCTCGCGGTCCGGGCTGGCCGGCTCCCTGCGCTCCTGCGCGCAGCAACAGTGCTGACCAGCGGCCACCGCGCCAACTGCAGGTCGCCTCGCCCGGCTGGGACACTGCACGCAGCCTTGGCCGCCCAGCGCCACCACCGCGGATGCCCTGCCCGGGCCCTGGCGGGGTGGGGCCTGCTTGCGAAGCCGTGGGTGGTGGGTACAGGCTCAGGGCTCTGCAGAAGTCAGCTCAGGGAAGGAAGGAAGGAAGGGTGGCAAGGGACTCCCCGGTGGCTGTGCGAGGATGAGGATCTCTTCCACAAAGGGAGCCGCTGAGCAAGCCAGCCCGCTGTTAATTCCCAGAACAGCCAGCAGTTCAGTTTCCAAAGGGGAAACTGAAGCTCGAGGAGGCCCAAGGAGGCCCCAGAGCTAGGAAAAGATGGGACAATCAGCGAGGGAGGAAGTTGCAGCTTCATTCGGGCCCGCCTTGAGAACCCACTCTTGCCCACGGGTCCCCAGCTGCCTCTGGGTGCCATGTGGTGCTTCCCTGTCCCCCTCTCTAGCCCTCTAGCCCCTGGACGTGGCCCAGGCAGGGTTTTACCGACAGCGCTTGTACTAAGAAAGCGATCTCAGCGCCCACGACCCGAGTGTTGTGCACAGCCTGGGTATAGGTGGTCCGCGACCCGCCCTGCCAATCCACACAGATGCAGTTCACTTCCTCCACCTGAAACATTTTCTGGGGAAGATAAACAGAGAGGATGAGGGAGAGAAGCCAATTTGCCAACAGTTCCAAATGGCACATCCAGAGACAGGGGTTCACATCTGTAAAGCACCTGGTTGGTGTCCAAGGTTTAACATCCCCCCGGCCCCTGATAATCTAATCCTCAATGTACCACTAGAACAGGGTACACCAGTCCTGCTTAACACATGTGGAAACTGGGGCCTGAAAAAGGTAAGTGACACAACCAGGACAAAACCAGCTGGGGGGCAAGCAAACTCCTACCCCCCCTCCCCAAAATTATAATTCAGGTCCTCGGTTGCATTAACCAGATTTCAAAGGTTCAATAAACTCATGGGGCTAGTGGCTGCCCATTTGGACAGCACAGATATAAAATGTTTCTGTCACCACAGAACATTTTTGGGATAGTGGTGCTTAAGGGGAAAAATTTAAACATTTTTAAATGTCATAGGGGGTTTTATATCAATTTAAAAGACTAGCTAGCATTTGTTGCCCTTAACGCAGAGAAACTAAAGCAGATACCTTAAAGCAACTGAGGCCAATAGGAAAAGGGGAACAGGTACTAGAGAAAAGGTTAGATCAAAAAGAATTAACCTAGAAGGTAACACCCACGCACAGGAAATCAATGTGAGTCAATGCTCTGTATAGCTATCCTTATCTCAACCAGCAAAAACCCTTGTTCCTTCCTACTATTGCTTATACTCTCTCTACAACAAAATTAGAAATAAGGGCAAAATAGTTTCTGCTGGGTATTGAAGGGGGGGGAGAGGGAGAGGGGGAGTGGGTGGTAAGGGAGGGGGTGGGGGCAGGGGGGAGAAATGAACCAAGCCTTGTATGCACATATGAATAATAAAAGAAAAATGAAAAAAAAAAAAACCACCAGAAGTGGTGAGTGTAGTCCCCACCTCTGAAACTTGCTGACTGGACTTCAAGTCTCTTCAACTTCAGAGGAGAGGGCGGACTAGATGTTAGTGGTTAGGGAGACCTTGGCAATGCATGTCCCTGACAATCAGGCTTCCCTAGGTGGTTTTAGAAAGAACTTCAACCCCTCCCCACTGGAGTACTTTTTCATCTGGTCTTGGGGGGCATCAGGAATGCAGTATTTGAATCTGTGTGTTGGGAGCTGTCCATCCCAGGAAATGGCCAGGTGATGGGGGTCTTACCTTGCACATGTCCAACAGCCAGCTATCCTCCCCCTTGCTTATGAAGCCATGGATAATGAAGCGTGTCTTGCGGTTCAATTGGAAGTTTGAGGCATAGATCGTGTTTAGGTCGGTGGCAGTGATCAGCTGGTTTAATTAGAAAAGGTGAATTTCAATGTCGGCCTTTCCAAGCTGCTAGCCTGTTACAACCACTCCAGTAAGACTGAAATCCCAGGTTTAACTCCCACGAAGTGGGGTCAGACAGGAAGGAAGGAGTTCCTGGGGTCATGGTTAGAATTCAGAAGGTCCATGTTCACTAACTTTTTCCTTTCAATGAATCTTTAACCAAAATCTATTCCTTCAAACCATGAAATCAGGCAACAACCACTGTTCACTTAGGAACACCTCTGATTCAGTCCCCAGTTGAAATCATAGATGCTTTCATGTCACATTATAGTCATAGATATCTCAAAGTGTCATTTATGTACTATTACTATTTTAAATTACAGTGATTATTAGATCAACCCTTAGATCTTAATATTTCGTGAGATGATAAAGCAACAATACAATACTATATCCTGTATTTATGCGTTTTTAACGTTCTGATAACTCTTTTTCAATACAATTGATTTCCTTTGTAATCCCATATCTTTTTCTTTATGTACTGAGACATATTGTCTTGTAAAGGGGAACTTAGGCTTCCTCTGGTGGCCAAAGAGAAAGGGAAGGTAGCTTGGCCAGAGCAGTAGGACTGAGGGAATCCAGCTTCATGGGGCCCTGCAACTTTAGCACAGACCCCCTACATGCGCACAGGCTGCTCAGCATCCTTCTACCAGATGCCAGGACAACATTTTTCCAGAAGGATCAGACAATAAAAATAGAACAACAGTAATGTCCATGCAGACTCCAGCTGGGGTCACCAAAAGGGCAATTTGTCACAAGACAGTCCTACATTGGGTGATCTCAGGGACTCTGTCAGGGGCCAGAGCTTGAACTGCTGAGTCCTTAGCAAGGTCTCCCTATCATCTCCTGGTCACTTCTGACCACTGTAACAAGCCTTCCATTCTTCCACCTGGCAGGTCTCTTGCACTGAAGGTTGCTGCCAGGCACCTCCCCTTTTCTCTTTTGTCCCCTCTCCTCCGTCTCTCTTCTAGCTCCTCAGGAGGGCAGGACTTTGCTGAGATCCACCCTGGCTTCTTCATAAATGCCACTCCTATTCTCTTCCTCCCAGGGGGCAAGGTGCTAATGTTGGGTGGCTCTAGAGACCTACACACCAGGTATATATTTCTAGGTTGGGCATCCATGGATTTTACCAGATACTCAGGGCTATGATCCCTACAAGCCAAAATGGCTCCAGGTTTAACAGTGGAATAGCACCTTGTGGAAAGTTCCAATGGACTGAATTCTGCCCTAGGCAGCCATGTGATGCCTCCAGGGTGGGACCTAAATGACCCAGCACGCAGTCATTCTATGCCTGCTCTTACTTGATAGTTGCTTGGATTTTCATTGGTGTATAGAAGAAAGCGGGTGTTAATGTCCTCAGGGGATGAAGGAAATGTCTTGAAAGGCCGCTGAGTGATCCCTGTCCAGGGTTTGTCATCAGAGAAGCAACCAAGATACCCATAGCAGACTTCTTCCCCTGGAGGAAGACAGAGGCAAACAAACAGAAGACTTGTCAAGTTCTGGAAAGAAGCAATGCCATCTCTGTGCAGAAAGACACTTCAGGATGGAGCTCAGGGCTGGCTTAGTCTGGAGCTGGTCTTTATCTTTGCTATCTGTTGTCTCCAAACTTCTGTGCTGATGAGAATCACCTTGGGGTTGGGATGAAAGTGTACATTACACATGATTCAGAGAGTCTGGGGTGGGGCCCTGGAAATGGCATACTTAATAAGTGCTCCTGTCATCAGGCAAGTCTGGTATCACTGATCTACAATCTGCTGTAGGGAACAGGAGGTGAAGGAGCTCTGACTGGTCTGTTGAATGATCTAACGTCAAGTATCAAGTGTCTATGAACTCCAGCACAGAGATACTGTCTACTGATCTTGATGTCTCCATGACATCCAGCCCAGACCATCACTTTCTCCCCAGAGGGATGGTGACAGCATCCTCACCTCTGACGGTGGCCAGCAGGAGAAGGCCAATAGCCCAGGAGGACAGCATCTGCATGGACAAAGACAGACAAAGACTGAAACCGACAGGCATAGGTGCAAAGCAGACGTGGGCAGAACCCAGACAGGGCTGGAGCCCTGAACAATGCCCAGGAGGGTGAGGACACAGAAGCCCTCCAAAGGCACAGGGAGTTGGGCAGCACTACCCTGGGACCCTGTGAGCTCAGGGTATTCCCTGTAATAGCTTCCTCTTCCTGGACCTCTTCTCCTGGCCCACTGCACTGCCCCACCCCTGTTTTGAGTCCCAGTCCAGGTGTTTCCGTGACTTACTGTGCTGCACTGAGACTTCCAGTCATGACAAGCAGGATGGCTGTGGCCTTTTATAAGCAGGCTTTATCCTTTGGACTCTTTTCAGGAAAGGCCAGGGCAGCACGTGGGCACTTCAAACCTGTTATCATAAACACGTGGAACCAACGCAGCCTGGGGAGAGCACTGTTTGTAAGTGTGAAATTCTAGAGAGGAAAACCCAACTTTGGGGGTGGTAAAGGACTCTTGATCTGAGTTTATAGGTACAGCTGCCAAAATACTGTGTTTCCAAAGTGTAATGGAAATGCTGAGCTGTAGCTTTGCCCCATCAAGATCCCTTTGGACAGAGGCCCCACACTCATCATTCTTTGCCATTCTTGACAAAGAGTGCAGAGATGGGCAGCTGAGCACTTGCTTTTGAGTGGAAGCATGTGTTTGTGAAGACACATGCCTTGGTCACTTGAAGGGTGGCGTGGGTCGTGAGCAGCCCCCAACCACAGTGAATCCAGACAAATGCTGGAAGTGAAGGCATTGCCACAGACCGAGACATACACACAGATAAAACAAACACTTTTCATGTGCAAGTTTGTGAGAAAAGACATTGTTTATTTTAAAAGCACTCCCGAGTTGTACTGACTGCACTGCAACTTGGAGATAAGCAGTGGAGTGTTTTCTTTTCATCATAGCTAAGAGGAGACCCTGGGTGAATAGCCAGGTGCCACCCTGCCATGTTTTAACTTGGTACATAATTTAGATATACTGAAGGGCATAGATCTTAAGTTTAAATGTCAGTGCAGTTTAATGAGTTTTGGAAAATATACATGGCCTGGATTGATATTTCCAGCAGCCAAAATATTCTGTCATGATTCTTTGACTACCATCCCCTGTTTTGTTCTAGAAATATGTAAGTAGCATGATACAATATGTGCTCCTGAATGTCTTGTTTTTTTTTTCACACAAGATTCTCTCCTGTTGTTACATGTGTCAATAGTTAGTTTTTTCTCCCTCACGTCCCCTTCCTCCTTCTCTCTCTCCCTCCCTCCCTTCTATGTAGTATTGACGTATTTCTCAGAAAAACATATTGTAGTTTCTTTATCCTGTCTGCTCTTTGTGGACATGTGTGTTCTTTCCAACTTGGGGATGTTATGCATGATACCAGTGAGATCATTATAGTCTAGTTCAAGTCTTGCTGTAGATACATGCACTTGTCGCTCACGTTTATACCCACAAGAACTTCAAGGGTCCTGGATGTTTACATCCTTGGCTTTCAGAGATGCTATCCAATGAGTTGGTTACGTGGGTGCAAAGTCCCACAAGCAGCAGTTGGATGTCACTCCAGGTGCTCTGCATTCTCCTGTTGCCCTTTGATCAACCCCAATTTGTGAGATTGCTGGCAATTTTCTAAAAATTTCAAGTGTAGAAAAGTGGCATGTGTATAACACTCTTCTGAGAATTCTGAGCTGGGAGGTGGCAATATGGAGCTGGTAGAAGCAAAGAATGAACTTCCCGCATCTCCACTGGGCTTAAGAAGAGTCAGGCTTATGGAACTGGGAAAATGACCCTGAAACCTGAGTGGGGACACCTATAACTCAATGAATCCAAGACCTGATGTTACTCCTTGCTGTCCCTTGGAGGGTGCAACAGCAAGGGAGAAGGTCAGATTTAAGGCCTGATATTGTGCTCATAAGGGACCCAATGAAAGAGCCTGAAATGATAACATAAGGCAGAATGGAAATCCTAAGACCACAGCATGGGATGAGTTTGTTTACATATAGCTCTTGGGAAAACATCCAATGCCTTCTTGTAACCTTTGGGGGAGAAGTGTTACCTGGATCTTGCCTATCTCCTGCCTCAGCTGCGTGTCTTTCCTTGTTCACTAAACTTCAGGTAGTGTCTCCTAAAAGTACCTTTCTGAACCTTTGAATATTTGGTTTCCTCTTCCTAAAACACTCTCCCTTTCCCTGTCAATCCTTGGGGGCTCAGCTCATAAGATCCATCATCAGAAAGAACCCCCATTTCAAAACCAGACCTTCCTTAAATCTTTATCATATTTATCTTCTTGTTCATAGAAAGTATCCCAATTGATAATTATATTTCCATGATTATTTATTTATATCTTGCCTTGATAGCAAGGTCAATGTCTGTATAACCATTGTTGTGTTGCCAGAGTCTAACACAGCCTTTGGCACATAGTAGGTGACTAATAAAGATTCAGCGAATATAAGAGTGGGGAATTAAAAGTTAATGACTCCTTGGGTTGGTGAGCAGGAAAATTCCCATTTGCATTTCCATATCTGGCCTTTGGACATCTCTTCCTTGAGGCTGCCTCCAAGGTGGCTTCCTGGGAGACTTGCCCTTGGCCTTCTCATTAGTTTCAGTCAATGGGAGGTACCAGCAGTCAGAGAGTGGGATCAGGAAGAGGCTTGGGGATTTATTCTAGGCTCTTGCCCTTCTGTCCTATGATTGGGTGGTATCCATGCTCCCCTTCCAAGGGCTGCAGGCCCTTACCAGGGCTTCCATCCTTAGCCCCAGCTCTTCTCAGACTCATTCCTCTATACTTCAGGCCACAAGGAGGAAAGCTTCCTGCTGCTGCTGATTCCTGGATGCTTCATCCTTATTTGATTCTCTTAACTCTGTGTATTCCTCTATAAATAGCCCTTCAATAAGCCCATCTTCAGCACCCCAGCAGGTACAGCTGGCCATTGGACTCTCCATGAAGGAGAGTTGTCATTATCAGTCACAGACTTGTGGCCATTTTAGGAGATAAGCTGGGTCTTGGGCATCATCCTTTCCTGACTCAATACTGTGTTCTGAATGAGGATTTCTGTCTTTATTAGGAGAGGGCTTTGAATTCTGTAGATGTTTGATCTTTGGTTTTGCCACTGTACTAGTAGTAGTCAGCCCATTCTGTAACTTGACTGTGGCTTTTGCAAAGGTTTGCTAAGGCACTTAATAATTGGTGATTACCATTGTTCATGTTGGCCTGGTTCCAGCCACAGATTAGTTAAGGAACCAGGGAAACCTCTGCTTTCATCTGGTCCACACCACCCAGAGGATGAATTTGGACACAACTAGAGGATTATAATGCCATTAGGTAAGAAATGATACCTGTTATTTCCAGACCTAAGGCAATATTCTGAATGCCAAGGTCAGGTAATGGTTACTCAGCCCTCCAGGAACTTACTGAGGTGGATCTAGTCCACATGAGAAAACACTTTCCAGAAGGTAGGCTCCCTGGAAAGAAGCATGGAGTTTTGTTGGTGGGGGGTGAGCTCCCTGCCTCACTGGAATGACAGTATGACATGAACAAAGGGGAAAAGAAGTCAAGACTCAGGAAAATGTTCAGTTGAGTGGTCTACTTCCAAGATCATTTTCAAATCTGGGATCCTTCAAAAATGTTTGGGAACTGCAGCCTAGAAAAAGGATGTCACTCTTCTATTCAAGTGACAGTCACCCAATGATGACCATCAGTTTATCCCCTCTTTTATAGAGGATAAGAAATCACCCAAGAGGCAACAGTGCAGTGTCCAAGGTGATGATAAATGAGTTGATTGAACAGATCTGGAGAACACAATCTCAAAGACGGGTGTTGAGACCTATGGGAGAGAGCTGCAAATAGCAGAATTTGGTAGTGGTGGTAGTTCAAAGGTGTTCTTAAAGAAAATAGCAGCCAGCAAATCTGAGCTCCTAGAGGTATGAAAACAAGGAGGCTTGCCTACTCCCATTTTATAGTTGAGACAACAGAGGCCCAAAAAGGTTAAGACTTAGTGTAGAGGAATGGAACAGTGGGCCCTTGTTCCCATGGCCCCACCTCCTACTCTGGTGCTACTGTCTCTCCTCCTGTGGAACTTGGTTTGTCCATCTGTGAAATGAGTAGAATCTAAGTTGAATTAGGGGCATTGTTCCTACACTAAGCTGTCCCCAGGGAAGGCTGGTGTCCCTGCCACTGTCACCACTGGCTGAGTGAGAGGTACTGGGTGCTCCCAAGCAGTGCAGAGCCTGACTAGTCTCTTCTACAGGGTGGCCCAAGGTAGGCCAGCTGGATCCTAGGACACTCATTGATTCCCACTTCCCTGCCTGTGTCAGGGTCAGCTCAGCTGCCCACCTTTCTCTGGGGCACAAAGAAGACGTGAGGTTCTGCCAGCTGTCAGCTGTGGGAAGGAACTGAAGGCCACCACCTGTGGGGAAACTCATTTCCAATCACATGGGTTGGCAGGATCAGGGTCTAGTGAGCTCTACCAATTGGCTGACTTGGGACCTCCTTCTCTGGCATGAGTCCTGTTGCAGTCGATTTATCCTGTATCAGTCCCTCCCCTCCTCCTCTTGTCCTTGCCCTCATTTAGCTGGCATTGCCTTTGTTTGCATGTTCCCCTCCAACTTAGCCTTCCTTACTTCCTAAAGTCCTTCCTACCCTTAATCCTGTGGGCATTTCCTTATTGTCTGCAGATGTACTGTTCACATATTGGTTGCACATTCACACTCATTTTTATGTGGCTGCAATGCTTTTTCAGTGCCTTAGTTTGGATTGGTTTTCTTTTCTGGTTTTCTGGTGTGTGTGTTACTGAGAACTGAATTCAGGGTTCCATGCTTGCTAGGTAAGTCCCCTACCACTTTAGCCATATCCCAATCTTTACTTTTTGCTTTTTTTTCAGAAAGGGTCTTGAGCTTTTGCCTGGGCTAGCCTCAGACTGAAATCCTCCTACCTCTGCCTCTATAGTACCTGGGATTATAGGCATGTACCACCACACCTGGCTATAGTTAGGTTCTTGAATGTCCTACAAAGACCCA